CTTTATAGTTCGTCACATGTCCCAATACAGACATTTCAGCTTGGAAACCTGATCAGCTGCAGGGACTGATAAAAATGTGGAGAGTGTTGTCTCTGCTGTATTGGGTTGATAAGAATAAACTTGTGGTGAAGGAAAATCTTTTCCTTCAAAATCTCTCAGGTGGAAAGCAGCAGACTTCAGGAGTCCAACAGAAGTGATCAGAAATGCAAACCAGAAGTTGAGAGAATGGCACAGTTGTAAAAGTGCTTGTTAAAGTAATGAGATGCAGGCAGTTAGAGATAAACCTGAAGTTGTCTTGGATTCATTTAGACTCTTGGAGGAATAGAATTAGCCTCGAAGCTGAGTCATTTTCCCTTCTCAGCTCAAAATTACAGTTTCTTTAGGTAAAACCCACAAAGTTAAAGAGCAAATAGTTTTAGAAGCTTGAAGAAAATGACAAGCCCAAATTTCTACATTCTTTCCAAAAGCCTGTTTTTCAGCCCATCACCTCCACCGTGATCAGAGTATTTTTAGAGAGGCTGGGACATTAGGAATCACCTAGTGCAATAACCTCATTGTACAGTGAGGGTCCTAAAACCCCAGAGAAACTTATCCCCTTCTTGACTACATAGTCCAAAAGCACTTCTGCTATTGACTTGTCCAAAACAGATTGATTTCTTGAAGAACTCTCCAGATCTATGGTAGCTGCCCATCTATGGTAGACATTTCTTTGTTGAACACAGTGCAGCACCTAGCAACCATCTACGGCCCACAGACCATCCTTGGCTCTGTTCCTGGCACATTTGGTGACTTTCCATCACCATTGTTTTTCAGAGTGTCGCTCTCACCCTCTTATAAAGAGGCCTAAAATGGTTCAGAGTCAGGTTTGTTTATACTCAACATTCTTCCCAGAAACAAGTACCAAAAATGGCCTCATGGGCACGATGGCGTCACCTCCCATTCCGAAGCTAAGACTATGGATGTCTAACATTAGCTGTAGGGGTCACGTTAGGTGAAGTGCAGTGGGGAGAGAATTTGGGGAAATTCATGAAGACCCACAGCTGGACAGGGGAAGAACAGGGTGACCTGTTCAGAGATTTGCCTTCTAGTCCTTAAATTTTGTTTCCTTATTCTCGGAGACAACTTTGTTATCTAGGGGAAAACCCTTTGCCTGGCCTTTGCAAGAACCTGTACTGATCCTTTCCCCGACGTGAGTGGTTAGAACATCTGACCTGGGTCCTGTTCAGTCTGTCATCTCTCATGTCATACCTGGTGGTGTGCTGTGCTTCCTTTCAATACCCTGCATCCTTTCAGGGCCTGCCGTTCTCTCTGCGGGTGATGGGGCTTGCTGTCGTGA